AGTGAAAATAAAAAGATTGATGATTGCATGAAAGCGTTACAACTTAGAACATATACGTATGAAGGTATGATTGAGTGAATTTCATTTGATGGGCTAGTTGATATTAAACAAATCGGCAAAGGAGGATTTGCTTATTATTCTTATTATATACTTATAAGAACACTATTATTATTTTACTGTTCTCAAAAAACTCTTTATAGTGAACAGTAAAAAATTTATACTGTACACAAATTTATAATAGTGTTCTCATGAGATCTCTGAGAACACCAATTTCGAACACTGGATGCAGGTATCATTATAGCTTTTAAAAAAGCCTATCGTTGTTATCAACTCAGGTTTGTTGGGTGTTAGTTATGGCATAAAAACTATCAATTGGTTACTGTATTATCTTGAAATAACGCTCATTTGAGATAATACAGTGTTTATTTTAGCATATGCATTAACTTTTTTTATTTTTTAGGTAGATGTTAGATCAAGTCGAAGTGGGTATTTTTATTTAGGATTTGAAAATGAATATTCTTCAAGCTATTCAATATATAATAAAGGGTTGGGAAGAAGTTTCAGTTGAGACTATCCGTAACTGTTGGCGCATACAAGAATTCTTCTGGATACCATTGACCCCAAGGTTCATGAATTATCTGATGAGGTTCGTAGAACCAATGATTCAAGCCTTGATGAACTTGTTAATGTACTTAATAATACGCACCATCTTCCTAATTCGATGAAAGTTGATGAATTCCTTACAATGAGTGAGAAGAATCTTGTTTATGAGATTCCTCTGGATGACCAGATTATTAAAGAGTTTGCATATACATTCAGAAGAGATAAGGGAGCTAAAAATATAGATGATGAAGGCATTGAGATCATGGATGATGAAAGGGATGATAGCATTGAAATTGCAATTGTTAGTAGTAGTTCTGCATTAAGTAATCTAAAAAATGTTTGAATCTTTTTGCTTCAGCAAGACGTCTCAAATGAGCAATTAAAGTTAGTTAATTCTCTTGAAAAATTTATTAGAGTGCAAATGGTCAAGTCTGCTCAACAGACTCATATAAATGATTACTTTAAATAAAGAAATCACAATTTATTTGATTTACATTTGATTCATTATTATTTGACATTTAAATTTTATTATAAGTAATCTAAATAAGTACAGTATTAGCTAATTAAAATTTCTGTTTATTTTTGACATTACAATTCAGAATTAACTTTTTTTGAGAATAAGTAGAAGTGTAAAAGATCCTATTTCTGGTTTACAGCTATTTCTATAATTTTTGAAACACCTGATAATATTGAACAAATGATGTTCTGGCCGATTCGTTTAAGTTTGTGATATTGGCATGATTGGTATATAAATTATGTCGCATATAGATTACATTGTAATTTGATAAATATATG